ATAGTAATCCCTTACTTTACTCGTTACTTTAAAAAAGTAATCAGATTACAGTAACGTTACTGCCCATCTCTGGTTACCACCACAGCTGATTTGAAACAGGTTTGGTTTGGTGACTTTTGGCAGATTTTTAATGCAAATACTTTGGTTTTAGCACTAATTAGCAGCTGTGAATGCACCTATCTAAATAAGATAGCTAGCATTAGCTGTTCACTTAGCACGGCTCTCTCATCCAAATATGGTCACCTCTGGTGACAAGGAAGACATGATGAAAAGGCTCTAATGCAAATTTCAATTATTGAAAATGGACATTCACAAATAAGTGGCTGAAGTCACAGTGGCTACGCCCATTTACATTTATATACAATTATTTATAGCTTTAATTACTGACTTTACCCTATGCAGTTCAATGGCTTTGCTCGTGTCTTACCTAAGTGGGGCACTGGTTCTGATAGAAGGATGGTTGTGTTGGTGCGGGACAGGGAGGGTGTCAAGCTGCGCTAGAGTCAATAGCTTTAAGCATCTTTGGAGCTCATGACATAGTGGAGCAGCAGTGTGGCCTTGGAGTCATGCTGGATGAGCCACCATGCCTGTCAGTATATTGATTGATACCAGTGGAGGGGTCACGCCATGCTCAACTCCGGCACTCAACAATAAGTCCTTCACACAAGTCCTACAACTTCATCAACAAACTATCACACTACCCCACGTGTAGGTCCCATCTGAAAAGAAGATGGGACCTAGATGTCCATTTTGATGTCCATTTTCCATTGATTCAAATACATTTCAGTTAAATAAAATAGTTCTTATTAAAGCAATCATATATTTCTTATTAAAGAAATCATATATTTTATACCACAATGAAAAGGGATCATTCGGTGCATCCCTAATTAAAATTCCAAAAGAATTCATCTACTATAGTTTAGGATTCTCTGTGGATGCTAAAGAGAAAAGGAGACATGTAAAAAGGGTTTAAAGGTATGTGCCCCAGAAATCAGTTTTCCAGCTGAGGATTTTGGTTTTATTTGCAAAGATCATGCTGAAGCAGTTAAATCACAAAAACAGCATAGTATTATGTTCATTCTGATTCTACAGTCATGCATATATGCACAAAATATTCTGCCAATTCATGAATCATATGCACTTAGCAATATTACTGGAAATGCTAAAGGGATGTCAAAATGATCCATTTCATTTTTGTTGAAGGGTCTCTGCTGAACTTGCATTTTACATGAAACGTTGCTTGATAGCGAGTTTTCATACTTACTGTCTGATTCAGTGGATTTGACAGAACGAAAGATTTGTTGCACTCACAGACACAAATAGATCTATACTCCAGACTTAACTTCACCTAAAAGTTATTTGATGTTGCAGTTCTATATATTGAAAATCATTCTGAAATGTATGTGGTTGAATATGGATAACAGTTTTTTTGATATGAATTAAAAAAAATTAGGTTTTGCTCAGTTTAACCTTCCTAGAAGACTGACCTTGATGTGTTTTTCTCTCACCAAAGCCGTTGGTGGTTGGCACTGCACGGCAGGCCATAAATCACAAATTCCAGCTTCCAGTGATGTCAGTCCTTTGCATCTTGTGTTGTCACTTCACAGTGTGAAGATGTGAACACGTGGTTACTCTTTCACGCCACACACCCCTCAGTAACCCAAAAGATTTCCAATATGTTTAGGCATTTCGACGCATTTGTACATACACATATGCACAGAGCACACTACACTCATTTACATGTCGTTAAAAGGGTGTGGAAAAATGAATGTGTTACAGCTCAAACTAAAATTTACATAAGTTAGTCCCTCAATGCAGAACAGAGATCTAAAGCACATAGTAACATCACACCACAGGTATTTACTGTATGTGCAGACATACCGCAGAACAGTAAAATGTTTACTGTTTGCTATTTATAGAGCATTGCTGTTGACCTGGAAAACCAGTTGTAGATGAAAAGCTCCACTGAGTCCTCTTGATTTATAAAACCCCCCAAAACTTCAGATGGATGTAAATTTAAAATATATAAACAGAATACAATGACTTGCAAATTATTTAAATCCTATATTTCTGTAAAAGTAGTACAAAGGCACAACATTAAATGCTAAAAAATTAGATTTTATTTTTAGATATTAATGCAGCGTTTTGAATTTGATGTAGCAACACATTTAAATAAAAAGTTATAGGGGCAACAAAAAACACATGAAACATGGTGAAACATCTCACATTTAACTAGTAACAGGATAGTAACCTCACTAACCTGCAACTTCAGAGTCTTTTTCACCTCTTGAAAAAAAAGTGATTGTATTTGAATTAAAAAGAAAGAACAGATGTTGAAAGCTGCCAGACATTCATTAAATCATATCACACTACTAGCAAAATGTACTTAATTCCTTGTGCTCTCAGTTCTAGAGAAGTACTTTTTTGCTATTAGTTACCATAAACCCCAGAAGGCCTTATTACTGGCAAACACCAACTATTAAAGCCAAGAAGTAATAAAATCTGTATCCGAAAGATCTTATGACTTATAGGGATTTGTATTTTTCGTGCTGCTGAAGATTTACAACTGCAATTATTCATGGGTAGCAAGACAATCCCAGTTTAGCAAAGTTTTATTGCTCTCTTCAAATTCTTGTTGCCAATTTCTGAGTCTGTGTTTCAGCAAATTCCTTTTGATACTGAGAAAAGAACCTAAACAATGCACATGATCTCCTGATGGTTTTAAATGATTGAGGAATTGACCAGAATGTGCAGACATTGTCTGTCTATATATATGTCTATATATATATATATATATATATATATAGCACACCATTTGTGTTTACATATGGTAGATAATTTAGATGTAGTCTATAAAGTTAAAGGTTATTAACACCAGAACTGTGACTAAGTCATCACTCGTCTTTTTATATACCAGTAATTTCATCAGCTAACATTACACTACAAAAGGAGCTTTACATATGTTGCTTTATTTAAACAGTTACGCCTTGCTATAAAACTGTCAGCACTATTAATCGGGTTCAAAGATAATGTATGATGATCTACCTTTGATTTGCAAAGCCTACTGTCTCATGTCTCTGATCTATAGTGGGTGACCTCCTGTGATTATGAAAGTGAATGTCATGCGTTTCCATCCTATCCTGAGATCGTGAGAATACTCCAGGCTTTGCTCACAGTAATTAGTACTTGGTCACGAAAATCAAATAACATGCAGTCAATAAAGGCAAGCAGGTACAAATAAAATGGAAAAATAATGGGGAGATGGGGATTATGGCAGCCACACTCATGGGTCAGTTGAACTACCTACTGTAATTATAAACTCTATGTATAAAGTGGCTGTAGCGAGCATTCATCCACTGTAACCCAATTCCTTTGTTTTCCTGGAGCATCGAGTTAGCTTTTTTGGTGATTCTTTGTTTATTAAGCCAGATTTAACTGTATTCGTATGAGAGGATGAAGTGCTTAGCTTGGTTCACAAAGCGCATGCAACCAGGGCTCAAATGTGAGCATCAAAAGGTCTCAAAAGCTGCAGTTCCTCAAGCAGCCACTTGAGGCTGCTTTCAAAATATGATCCTTACCCATAGATTACCAAACTAAAATGACTACCAAGAGTCAAAGAAAAAGGTACAAAGTTATACTGGTGCTTTCCTTTTACCTCGAACGTTGGAGCTGAAAATGACGTCATACCCAAGTTGACAGCGTTCCAGTAGCAGTAGTCAGAAAAGCTGGCGTTTGTTTGCTCCCTAGCAAGTTAGCCTTTCAGTTTTCACTGGAATATAACACTTTCCCCCTCCCCCCATTAAAAACACTGCTGTAGCGCATTCATGAATACACCCTGGTTTAGTTTCTGTATGGCTTATTTAGTGAGTCACAAACATCTAACAGTGATAATGCAGACTACAAATTATTTAACATTATTTAACTTGATCTTTTACTGATGATAAACAATTCTATTTTTCAGGAATGAAGGATAAAACTGCATATTAACCCCTGAAGTCAGGTCTATTATTGAAAAGAATCAAACTCCTCTGACCTTATGCTAAGGTAAATGGATCTTCACACACGGCTGCAATAGCATAAAGCAAATGTAAAGATTGACCTGCAGTCAGGCAGCCACCATTAAAAAGCAGCTGAAAGTGAAATCTGTATATTTCAATATCTCATCTAACATGTGCAGGCTGAACCTCTTATGATGGCACAATCAAACTGAACATTTTACTATGACTCTGTCTGTGGTTTTTATTTTTTTATATTTATCAATTCACATACAATGAATAAATATCAGATTTTCTTTTTTTTAAATAACATTATTATCTGCTCAACCAACAAGATGATTAATACCCCCCACTAATGAGTCAGCATGTATCATATGCTCATGCTCAAAAAAATGCTAAAACTAGGAGAAATCAGGTTTGGGGTCACAGCTGAATGGACATATGGACAGAATGATACTGAGTCAGGGGGGGAATGAACATTTGGCTCAAGCTACACAACCTGATGAATATTAGGGGCCCCTGGACAAGCCTTCTTGCTCAGTGACCTAATGTACCCAGAACAGCTGTGTGAGGCTGCTTAGCAGTTAGGCCTGGATGACAAGTCATTGCTCAGCTTGATATATGAACTATTACATGTGAAACAGAATGGTATGGTGGTGGTTGTGTGTATGTGTGTGTCTGTACTTGGATTAATATGTTCTTATCATGCGTGTTTAGGGAGTCTAGCTTTTGGTCAAAGGCAGCTAAAAGTTATTAAAATATTGGTCTTTGCAGCTCTTGCCGATAAGAAAAACACTGAAGCAACTTAGGGCACAATTATATGAAAAATATGTTATGTATGTGGGGGTAACTGGATACATGTACAAATGGAAATATCTAAAGTCCATGAGTATCTTTATTTCACCAGTTTCTCACTTTCTCATCAACACTGACACTTTTCAGACAGGCAGACTGACCTTCCTGCAGCAAGCACAAAAGTAACACAACACAAAAGTAAAAATTTGCCTTCAGAAAACAGAACCAAGGCCTGACATTTATTACAGAGATTTTAACAGATATGATCAGGTACAGGTACGTTGTGTTGAAGTGCTTCATTTACATTTACAAAGATGCAGAGTGAGAACACAGGTCCAAATTAAGTCATTTACAAACTTGAGTCAGAATAACAAAACAATTCAACTGCTTTAAGAACAGCGTTAGATACGTTGGGAAACATATATTGCAGCTTTGCAGCCTAACTGTATTGCATTTTTTAATAGCCAGTATCCAGGTACCTAAAACACAAGAGGAAAAACACACACACAAAACACACATTTAGGCAGCAGTACTTTCAACAACTTAAAAACTGTAAAGACAGTTAAATACTCTAATGAAGCAATATTTATTTATTTCTGTGTGGAGTCATTTTTCTAATTGATATAAAAGTTTTCGGTGCTGTCAACAAAGCAAAGGTGGCTATTTTAAGGAATCTAAAAAATAAGACATATAAGAGTTATTTATCATTTTTTTCTCTGATACATAATTCCATATATCTTGCTTCATATATTTGCTGTCTTCAGCATATATCTATAATGTAGAAAGTAATAAAAATAAAGAAAAAAAAACATTGAATGAGAAGGTGTGACCAAAGTTTTGACTGGCCGTGTGTATATATTACATTTAAAGACATAAAATACACTTACATTTTCAGCATCGTGTGCCAGTCCTGTATCATGATGTTCCATCTCATCATCTCTAAATTCCTTTATCACCTGTTAAAAATATTCAAGATAAAACAAATTAATTTAATTAATTAATTAAATTTCACTGCACAAAATTCTCAAGCTATTTGGCCTTGAGTTGGTTACATTAAACCCATTTTCTTTTCAAAATAACAGCAAATAACTCAGTCATGAAAAATGTTATACACCGTGGTCAGAAAATGTGTATCTAATAAGATCAGCTTTGTGCTGAGAAGTGCTTTGTCCCCATCTGGAAAACATCCAGAGAGGTAGAGTCACGCTTGACAGTATATATGAAAAAGCCACTGGTGAAATGCCAATTTTATTCCATGTGCTATGATCTGTGAAGCTGCGTTGGTGTGTGGAACTTGTCCAAATTAGAAGTTAAATAAACTTCGACCTGCATCAGTGCGCAGTAACAAATGTCAGTAGCCATTAAGTGATGTAATTGTGTAATGGCGAAAGCACTGAAGTCAAAAATGTCAAAAATCATGCTGCATAGCCTTGGAGAAATTGCCTATAAAACTGTAAAACTCTCCAAGTAAACCTGAACTGTACTGAACTGCTTAGATAAACAGAAAAAATTCCACCCACGAACAGATTTAACACTGAAAGTCAACAGTGATCCAGGAAGAGAACGAGGCTGTGCCAGAGGTTTGACTGTGGTTGGCTTACATGCAAAAAATAAAAAAATAAAAATAAAAAAATGATCCAGCTGCTAGGATTGCACTAAATAATGAATGAGTGAAACAATCAACAAAGACAGTTGTAATTTTTTAATAAATGCAATTAGAAATATGCACAAGCTAACTATAAAAGACCGAGACCATTTCAGACTCATATTGGCATTACTGGGATACAGACATCATTGAATGAAATTTTCCTCAAAGTTTGGTCAAACACAATTTAAGGTGGCTTTATTTATTTGCTGGTCAGATAACTCTTACTTAAATGTAGTAATGTTAGTAAAAGGCGATTAGCGATTAGGTACAAAGCTGTATTAACTAGCTTGAGTTTAATTGATTAATTATTATTTAGCGTGGCTTATAACAATCACCATAATCAAAAACATTCAACATTATTTCCATTTTGGTATGCTAGACTCTAACTCAAAAAAAACCTCTTTTTTTTTGGACGGGCAGGTGCCTAATATTATCGCCATTTGGCACCTCTTTAGACTCAGCTGTTGCCACAATCTCATAATGAACAATATGAATTTCATGCACAGTAAAGGGCAACCACAGAGCAGAGCTACAGAGATAAGAGACTCACTTGTAAGAGTTCAGTGTATCTCTCTGGTTCCTTCTCCATCAGAGTTCTTATCTGGTTGTTATAGTGTTCAGTGATACTCTCTTCCACTGCCACAGTACAGGCCATGGCCCCTTCTTTTCCCAGTAATGCAGATGATGCCCCTTCAAAAGGGAGAGATACATGCTGTTAACATTTAATGAAGAGATTTCCTACTGCTTACTGTTTACACACTTGTTAATGACACGTCAGGGAGCCATTGTGAAATTCAATAATCATTACTCTTTGATGCATTTGTTTATCTTCTCAGCAAAATTATGTCTTTATGTGTTTTACCGACCTAATACAAACCCAGCAATATTCCAGAAAGGTAACAGTGCTGTGGGGCGAACTCTGTTCTCAGCAAGAATTTCATTGAATTTCTCAAGGTGTTTCTTTTCTTGATCCCACATTTCCTGTAGGAAAAAAAGCGCAAAGTGTCAAAATTTAGGGCCATATACTGATTAGGGCTGTTCGATATAACGATATATATCGGATCACGATATAAAAACGTCTATCGTTTCATTTTACGCTATCGTTTGGTTCCTGGTGTTGCAAAATACTGTTTACGGCAATATTTTTCCATCGTTTTGATGGTCACTGTAGTGGCTATATTCATTTCTTAAAGTTCTCTCTTTGTCTTATATTTAATATAACTGGACGGACAAGCGCCTGTTTTTATGCATTGTCGTTAGCAACAACGAGGGTAAAGCCAATGCGTGTCCGCTTGTTTATTTTCCACATAAACCTTTCAGAATAAAGCTCAAGATCCTGTTGAGA